TTCTGAATCAGTCTGTGGACAAACACCCCTGATGATAAGTTCTCCCAAATGAGAAAGTGGCCAGAATCAAGTGCCTCCAACTTGCATCCACAGACTGTCATATCCAACGAGCTTCAAAATTTGTTGCAGGGCCTCTGTCGGTCCTTCTCTGTTTTTTTTTGTCTTTTTGAGACAGGGTCTCGCTATGCAGTTCAGGCTGGCCTTGAGCTCACTTTGTAGCCCAGGCTGGCCTCGAATTCACTGCAACTCACGTGCCTCAGCCTCCCCAGTGCTAGGATTACAGGCATGTGCCACCAGGCCAAGTAGAAATTATCTTTGATACCCAGTTTCTACCCAGGCATGGTAGAACACATCTATAATCCCAGCAATCTGGTGACTGAGGCAGGAGGACTGTAAATTCAAACCCAGCATCAGCAGTACAATGACTTCATGAGACACCCTGTGTCAAAAAATAAAAAAGGCTGGGAATATAGCTCAGTACAAAGACCCCTGGGTTCAATCTCCAGTAACACACACACACACACACACACACACACAGACATGAAGCAAATATTTCAAAATGTTAAGCCTGGTGTGGTGGTGCACACCCATCCCAGCACTGGGGAGGCTGAGGCGGGTGAATTGTAGTGAGTTCGAGGCCAGCCTGGGGTACGTAGTTGAGAGAGTGTCAAAAAAGAAGAAAAAAAAATTCAATTTCTTTTTCCTTTTCTTTATCTAAGTCTTAGGACTACTGGACTTTAGTGAACTCATTCCCTTCTCATTCCTTTGTCCACACATATGGTTTCTTAATCATTTAGGAGTCTGACTCTGGAAGATAAGGGAACTTCTCTCTGCAAAATATACATGTGCACTATATTCTGCACACAATTCTGAGAGTTCATAGGCCATTTAGAGGCAACTGAGGTAATCCTTAGGTTAGGAATAGTACTTATTTAGTACCTACTATGAACTACATGGTAAGGAAAAAATAAAAATGAATAATGTAAGGTTCTACTATTAAGCAGTACACAACTCAGAGTTCAAACATCCACCCACTTCCAAGGCAGGGTGGTTAGGTGTTAAGAGGAGGCAGATAGAGGGTACTACGGGAATCCAGAAGAGAGGTATTTCATCCAGTAAATAAGATCCCTGCAAGATTTGACATCTACACTGAGACCTCAAGCAAAGAGGAGAAAGCAAGGCAAGTACGAAGATGGGGTGTGTGTGAAAGTTCCAGACAGAGGGAAAAAATGCCCAGAAGGAAAACAGCATGGTGATTTCCTGGAACACAAAAGTATTTGGTGTATCTGTGCCAGTAGTTTGTTGGCTCCACTCCATTCCTGCTTTCCTTTCTCTTACAAGGGGCCGAGGGCCAACACATCACATTTCCCGCATCACTTTGCCAAGTGGCGTGGGGCCAGATTCCGCCAGTGGAAAGCTTTGGTGGAAGACTGCAGACAGGAGGAAGGGAGAAGCCATGTTCTCAACACTGGCAGCATCTCTGCTAGTGGAAGCAGCAGCAGCAGCAGCAGCAGCAGCAGCAGCCACCGCCGGGGAGTGGGGACTCCCTGGGTTCTCCTAGCAGTTGTGGCAGCAGCAGTCACTTCAGCAGCTTCAGCAGCAGAGTGGCTCTGGCAATGGCAGGAGCAGTGGTGGACGCCTGCAGCTCCATGAGCTTCGCAGCAGCACAGTTCTTGTGTAACATCATCGCTCAGTGCTGAGTAATAGCATTTTTGCTCTGCCGCCACCCTTGTTCCATGCAGTTCTGAATCTCTGCACATTATTTTTTTGCCCCTCCAGCTTTTCAACAGTTTTGAAGTCAATTTCCTGTATTATAAATGCCTCTGTTTAAAATGCCTACAGTGGCTTCTTTCTCACTGGACACCAATATAGCAATCAGAAAATATGGTGAGGGGCTGCAGTTTTGCTGAGAGATTTGGTTGAATAGGTAATTCAGGGTCAGATCATTCAAACTTATGTCAGGCATTGGAACCTGATCTAAAATAATGGAGACTTTTTAAAGACACAGTCAACTTTGTGACTTTCGATTTTAATAAAGGTCACTTGAAGGTTGGTATGGTGGTGCATATTCCAACACTCTGGGAGGCTGAGGCAGGAAGATTACAAGTTGGAGACCAGCCTAGCAAGATTTTTTTTTCCCACAGAGACAGGATCTTGTTCAGTACAAAGACCCTGGGTTCAATCTCCCTTGAACTCACTACATAGCCCAGGCTGGCTCTGAACTCGAGATGATCCTCCTGCCTCAGCCTCCAAATATTAGGGTTATCACATCTGGCTAGCAAGGTCTTGTCTGAAAGTAAAAAAGGCTAGAGATGCTCAGTACAAAGAGGCCCTGGGCTCAATCCATAGAGCCAATAGATAGATAGATAGATAGATAGATAGATAGATAGATAAAATATCACCTGGGGTATTACATGCTTGAGCCACTTGAACTGAATGAAGTATCCAATTAGGATGCTGTTGTGATCAAGGAAAGAATTTGCCATCTACAGTAGGGTAATGGGAGTGAGGTTGAACAGAAGTGACTGAAAAGGTTATTTTCTTTTTGTACTACTGGGGTACTGAATCTGGATCGCTCTACTACTGAACTATACACTCCAGTACCCCTACTCCTTTTAAATTTTTACTTTTTGAGACAGGTTCTTGCCTAGTTGCAAGGATAGGACTTGACTTCGCAATCCTCCTGCCTTAGCATCCCTGAGTGCTGGGATTACAGGTATGTGCCACCGTGCCCAGTTTGACTGGAAGGGTTTTTATAAGGTGAGATGACTAGAACCTAATGAGGTATTGTGGCAGATTAAAGAAGGCAACAAATTCATTGATACTCTTCCTGTTGAGAGACCTGTTCTGCAACTCCCCCTCTAAATTTTGGTGTGTTCTGTAAACACAATGACACAGAATAGGGCAGAAATGAAATTATCCCAGTTCCTGGACCCAGGCTTTAGGACACAGGGGGCTTCTGTTTCTTAGAACACGTACTCTTAGCACACGGTCACACTACTTTGAGAAAGGCAACCCAAGAGGAAAGCCGGCATACACAGACCTGCTCTAGCTGACAGTCCTCCCTACATTCCTGGCTGACAGCGTCAACTAGTAGCCATGTGAGTGTGGCATCCTGGCTGTCCAATCCAGTTGAGCCCTCGGATGACTGAACCCTCAACCACTGACCAAAACTACAGGACAGACTGAAGTAACTCCCACCCAGCTGACCCACTCAGCCCTCAGATCTGTAAGAGATAATACACTGTTGTCTCAAGCCACAGATTTTTTTAAAAATTACTACATTTTGGGGTGGTTTATTATACAGCACAGACATGAAATGTGAGAAAGAATAATGTCTACAATTCTTGTTTGGGCAGAGGATGGAATCAGTTACTGCTCAAATGAAGATTGGGAGTAGACGAACTGTTTGCACGTTTGGAGGATGGTGATGGTGACGGGTAAATAATGCACCTGTCGAGGACATACATATTTTTGGAACTATATTAAAAATTTTTAAGGTAGCCTATTATTAGTTTCTCTAAAGCACTGGCTTTTATTGATATTCTTAGGTTTTAAACAGCCTACTTTTTTTCTTTCCTTACTTCCTTATTTCTCGTTTTTTTCAGACAAGGCCTCAATATATAGTTCAGGCTGGCCTTGAACTCACAATGCAGCCGGAGCTGGCCTTGAATCTGCAGTCATTCTCCTGCCTCAGCCTCCCGAGTATTGGGATTACCAGTGTGAGGTTTCGTGACCAGCTAAATAGACTTCTATTTTATAAATACCCCAGACCTTGTAAAAATTGCACTTCTTAAAAGCTTGGTACTGATATCATCACATTTAATGGTACTGATATCATCACATTTAATCTTAGTAGGGCTGTGCTCCCATGCTTCCTAGAAATTCATCAATTATTTGCTCATCATCTACCAAGTGCTCAGCACTGTTCTGTGTGGCAGGGGCATAACTGCAGATGAGACAGATAATATTCCTGCCTTCATGGGGTTTTACATGCTAACTGGTGGACAAAGAACAAGTGAAGGAAGTAATTATCAATTTGATAAAACAGTGAAGTAAGCAGGGTGCTTAACACTGAGTGGAGAGGAAGTGGGAAAAGCCAGCTCTGTGAAGAGCTGCAGTGGGGGAAGTGAAGACTGGCAGCTATGGGACCAAGAAGGGTACACAGGCCCTTGGGTGGTTAAAGGTTTGATCAGATTCTAGGAACTGAAAGACCAGTATGCTTGAAGTTAAATGACCAAGAAGCAAACAATATAAGACAAAGTTGGAGAGATACACAGAGGTTAGATTAAACAATCCCTAGTAGGCTATATGAAGGCATTTGCATTTTATTCTAAATGCAAAATATATGCAGAAATATAGACATGATCTGATTCACACTTCAGGAAGATAATGGACAGATAAGAAGAGAGGTAGGAAAACCTGTGGGAAAACCTGCAGTGGTCTAGCAGAAAGGAATTTGACCTAGAGTAGGTTTCCTTCTGGTTTTCTTTTCTTAGATTCAATCTTTTTTCTCCTCTTTCCTTTTTTTTTTTTTTAAAGAGACAGGGTGTTGCTTTGTAGTTCAGCCTGGCCTTGAACTCACTATACAGCCCAGGTTAGCATCAAACTTATGGTGATCCTCCTGCCTCAGTCTCCTTAGTACTGGGATTACAGGTATGAACCACAATTCCCAGTTCAATCTTTTCCTTTGTAAAGTGCAGATGGAGGCTTAGTAGAAAAAGATGAGCCTGTAATTATTCGCAAGCACCCCAATATAAGTTTCTTATATACTACTGTTTTTTGTAAAGACCTGAAATATTTTCAAAACTGATGTTTTTTACTCTTCTTACCGATCTACTTCCCCTAAACCAAAGGTTTCACTCTAGTGGGAACTAAGTACATCTGGTCTTAACAATCCACTGAACCAATTAGTGGCTTTGAAGCCCCTTATCATAAACAATGTCTGTTGGCTAGAAGTTCCTTAGCAACTGGAATAGTTAGGGCTAAAGATTCCAAGACAGAGGACTGGGACAGGCCTAAGCCAGCACTAAGAGGCTTAGGCAGGAGGATCATCATGAGTTCGAGGCCAGTCTGAGTTACACAGTAAGTTCAGAACCAGCCTAAACTACGCAGCGAGACCTTGTCTTAAAACCAACCAACCAACCAACTGTAAAACAAAACTAGGTACAGAGTTTTGGATGAATTATCTGTTAATTATTCATATTTCTGATTTTGTTTTTTGCCTGTCAGGAGGGCCATAGGCCCTGTACCACAAACAAAACTAAACTTCAGTGTAAGGAAGGTTTATTAATCTTAAAATTGATTCCCTTATCTCAATGAATCTAAGTTTTGTGGTAACTCTATCTGAATATTGACAAAATAGCCTTCTGTTTAAATGCATTATCATTCAATTGATATGACTAAAATCTTCAATATTCAGAAGCTAAGGGCAAAATGTGAAGGAAGGCTCTTGCAATGGCTAGTTTTAAAGAATGGGTATTCTTCTGTTGGTTCAAAAATATAGTTATCACAACTTCTATTTGAAGATAGTAGGACCATCTTAAGGGTTCATCTTCTTTGCCAATAGCAAATTCAGTTATACCTGCTATTATATAGATTCATAAACTTTGCACTTGATATGTGCCTTACAAACATTATTTATTTATTTATTTAATATAGGGTTTTGCCACTGCTATTGTTCACTCACACATGGGATTAACATCAGTCCAGTGATCAAAACAATGGTGGATAACTTCCAAAACTGCTAAAATGGTTTATAATTACTTGGCTTGCCAAACCCATAATTCTGAAAAGACAATAGAAACTTCTGGTGGTGGATCAGGCTGGCCTCAAACTTGTGGTCATCTTTCTGCCTCGGCCTCCCCAGTGGTAGGATTACAGGTGTGCAGCACCATGACCAGCTTAGATTAACTTTTTATTTTTCAAAGTTAGGCAACTCTTATGTTTTTATTCTTCCAACTATAATGAGATTGATATGCATGGACAGCTGCTTACAGACATTTAAAACTTTGGGGAGACCATAATATAATGCAAAAAAACTGAAATGCACTTTAAAAGGAGTGTTCATGAATCGTCAGCTATATGTAAACAGAAGTTCAACCGTGTGTACGTCCTATTGGTGATAGTCTTTGGCGTGGGACGAAAATTGAAGAGCACAGTATGCTGCAAAGCAGCCTGAGCTAAAAGATTGTTTTGTGGTTAGGCTGGTGACACAGTCATAATGAAGTGGAGACCTGTTAAAAGAAATGTAAAGATTAGGAAAGCTTTGAGCAACCAAGCTTAACATTAGTCAGGATGGCTGCAAACCAGCCGCTAGCCATTCCTGAAACACATCATGTCACCTTCCCCTGAGTAATTTCCTTAATGTCTCTGGTGGCCATGTCTAAAAAAGAGACAGTACCAGCCACTTTTTACTTAAGTTTTCTCTGGTGTTAAGTCAGGAAAAGCGAACCATTCCATTTTGTCTTGTGACATGCACAGGTCCCTAACTGGAACAAAGAGCTGCACAATGAGCCATTGTTTTGGCTTTCCACTAACATCTGCATCCGTTCCATGGGAGGGTGGCCTCTACCCATCTGAATCCTTGAGAAGCTGAATTAGCTACAAGGTCCAAAATTACAGATTTCTCAACTTACGATTCTCCAGGAACCCCACTGGAACCCCGCAGCGGAAACTGATTCTTCTTTGTTTATTTCACAATAGGTACCAGTTTTAGTTACTGACCATGTTGATATCCGAATAACGGTAGTGCTCTGGGATCTTCTAGGGAAAGCTACTAGGCCAGAGGGAACCAGACCAAATAGCAAGATCCAAAGTAATGATGAGACCGAACAGAGTAAGTGAATTCTCTACAGGTCCGGCATAGCCTGTTGGGGCTAGAAAGCAGGGCCACCTGGTGGTACCTGAGCAAGGGTCAGTTCTACCTGCTTGTCCATAAATGTGCATAGCTCCTAAACAAAGTAATCTAGATAGGTCTTCCATAACGTAACAACAATTAGGCTACTGATCAGAAAGGTACTGTGTCTAGCAAACCATGGGAAGAAAAATACTGATATTTAAAATTTCAATAACTATCCATTTATTCTTTGGGTGTTCTGGGCGTTTCTTGTTAGGAACATAAAGAGGTACTGGCATTACTGGAGTATTTTCCTGACTTTTGGCAATAGCTTATAGACCCAATAATCGCTGTGGTTCCCTGCTAGACCACAGGCCTTCGCTAAAGCTATCCAAAGATTACTGCCCCATGGAATTCCCTCTGTGGAATTTTGCAGGGATGTCCCATGAAAGAAACACGTTTTCCAGTAATTTCTTATTGTGCATCAGCTTTCCTATCTGGGAAAGCTTTTGTCCAACCAGAAAACCTACAAACTATTATAAGCACGTACTGGAAACTTACTAAGGGTGGCAACTGAATGAAGTCTGTCTGTAAATGCTGAAAAGGACCATCGGATAGTGGAAATCCACCACCAGAAAGTTTCTAGCATCTTTTCAGGATTATGGGTTTGGCAAACCAAGTAATTATAAACCATGTGAGCAATTCTGGAAGTTATCCCACCTTTGTTTTGATCACTGGACTGATGTTAATCCCCTAATAGCAGTGGCAAGCACAGGGCCTCTTAAATTTGTTTCTGGCGTTCTCTCAGAAGCAGCAGAAGCCTTATGGAACAGAGTACGCCTTTCCATGTGGTGGTTGGCAGCAGCAAAGAAGTTTGGGAGCTTCTGAAGGGGCAACTCATTGGACTACTCTACGAAACACAGAATTTAAATTGTCTCTGACCTTTCAAGAGGCAGAAACTTCACTGGCAACAGGACGACGTAAGACTGTACCATCTGTGTACTGTTTGATAAGTGTTGGAGTATGTTACATACAGTTGTTTGGGCATAACTGGAGACTATCTGTATCCGCTTAATCAACACCTTAGGTGACAGATAGCTTGTAAATATTCCACATACGTCTCATGATTTGTCTTCCATTCTGCTCCTGGGGTCTTTTTTCTTTTCCCTTAGTACTTGGGATTAAACCTTGGGCTTTTGCTCCGAGCTACCTCTCCCATCTCTTCTTATTCTGAGACTCAGCTGGGTTTAAACTTGTGATCTCCCAGACTCATGCTCCAGAGCAACGGGATTAGTGGCATGCACCACTATGACCAGATAGGCCCACAATTTTGATAGATAAACGTAGCTGGTGCACCAGTAAGTACAATCTTAAGACTTTTTGACCTGTCAACAGACTGTGATCAACAATCAAGCAAGACCGTGTCTCAGAATAAGAGATGGGAGAGGTAGCTCGGAGCAAAAGCCCCAGGTTTAATCCCAAGTACTAAGGGAAAAGAAAAAAGACCCCAGGAGCAGAATGGAAAGAACTGGAAAAGTATGTTTCTTTTTTTTTTGGTTTTTTCTCCGGTACCAGGAACCGAACTCACGACCTTGCACTTGCCAGGCAGGCGCTTTGCCGCTGAGCTAAATCCCCAGCCCCTGGAAAAGTATGTTAATGATCTGAAACTTCAAGGGAGGGTCCAAGGGGAGCTAGGAAAATTGCTGACTTTTTTTTTTTAAATTAAGTCCCTAAGGTTTTTCTGCAAATTAAGTAAGTCTATTGTTTTACAGGCAAAATAAGGATGATTGTGATCTCCCAGACTCATGCTCCAGAGCAACGGGATTAGTGGCATGCACCACTATGACCAGATAGGCCCACAGTTTTGATAAATAAACGCAGCTGGTATACCAGTAAGTACAGTCTTAGACTTTCTGACCTGTCAACAGACTGTAATCAAAAAAAGAAAAACCTGAAAATAAAAAATACTGTTAAAACCAATTTAACTCTGAACCCAGACAGCTGAGGCCTTTTGACTAAATCCAACTCAGAAAAGTAGGGGGGAAAAAGGAGAAAAAGAAATAAAAAGTTTGTTCAGAGAAGCTTAAAGTTTGTTCAGATAAGCTCAGAATACAAAATGAGCGCAACTTGGGGTCCAAGAGATAAACTTACTGGATCTCTGGTTGTTGGAGAGATGACGGGGTCTAAATGGCATTGCTGGGTACGTACAGCAATGGCTTGATGTTCAAAAGAAAAAAAAAATAGGAAAACTGAAGAGTTAAATTTAATACCATTTATTTAAATAAGAAACAGAACCAGGCAGCGATTCAGACCAAAAATGTTTCAAAATACCCCCGCCTACAATGTGTGAGCAGTATTTATAAGCAGAAAAACAGGAACTGTCCAAAGATTACCTGAATAGTGCCGCTCAGCATTTGCCTTATTTGGAACAATTTGGCAGTCTTCAGTTTGAGATTGGCCAAGGCTCAGTTGCTTGGTTACCAGGTATACTCTTAAATTAGGGTACAATCTACAGTACTTGCACATCAAGATAGGATGCAGTTCACTATATACGGAGGCCACTTTGGGCCAAATTTTACTGCTCGAGTAGGACACCAGCTCAGGACACCATTCTATTTAACAGAACCAAACGATTATGACGTAGGCCGCTAATTAACACGCACAACAACCGAGCGCGTCCCAGCCCCGGCCAGCCCCGCCTCGCGGGAAGCAGCAGGCGACGGAGCTCCCAGCCCCCACGCGGCGCCTGACCCGCGTTCCTCACCCACGTGGCCCCGCACGCACCAGACGGCGCACACCCGTTCAAAGTCCAAGGGCAGCGGTCGGGCTCTGGGGTTTGGGGCTTTGCGAGCTCCTGCTCAAGCAGCAAGAGTCATGAAAAGCAGCAGCCAGGCCGCAGCCTCTGCGCCACTCCTCTCGCACTACTCAATGTCCCGCCCGCGCGCCGCCGCCCAGACCACGGTGGCACAGGACGGGCGGGAGCCGGAAGTCAAGATGGCGACGTCCCGCCTCCCTCTCGCGAGGGACGAGAAGGAAAGAAGGTTGGACGAGGGATGGGCTATCCAATGAGAAGGCGGGTCGCGCGTGACGGACGGCTGTTTTAGCCTCTCCGCAGGCCCCGCCCCGGCCGCGGGGGCTCGGAGGCAGCCCGCCGCACCCTCCCTCCGCAGCCCTCGCTCCCCTCCCTGCTCTGCTTTTCTCTTCCCGTCTGAGGTGGCGGCCGGCCTCGCCTCCTCATCAGCTCCATTTTACCACCCCTGTGGGTTTCCTTTTTTCCCTCGAGTCCGAGGACGGCCTGCGCATCTTCCCGCCTCCTGAGGGTGGCTGCAGAGCCCCGCGCTTTCTCCTGTCTCGGGTCTTCAGTGCGCGCCCTGCCCAGTCATGAATGAGGAGTACGACGTGATCGTGCTGGGCACCGGCCTGACGGTGAGCTCCAGGCGGCGAGAGGGTGCAGGGCGGCTCGGAGCGGGACGCCCCGTGTGTGCTGGTCCGGGGGGGCGGCCGTCGCTCCCCTCGCCCCGCCCGCCCGCCTCCCCCCTGCCCGCGCGGTGGCGGGGCGCACCCGCAGCCGAAAGCGGCCGGTCGGAGGCCGCATCTCCCCGGGGCCGGAATTTCACGGGCGGCCTTGCTTTTCCCCAAGGGGTCGTGGCTGGTGGAGCCGGACGGGTTTGAAGGCGCCCGGCCACCTGGCTGGAGCGGGCGGCTTCGGCTTCGGCTTCGGCCTCGGCAGCCCAGGCCGTGCAGCTGCGAAGCTCGTCTGCTGGGTAGTAATGGCCGAGTAAAAGCAAGTGCGAAAACAGAGCTGCAGCCTCCTGCAGAATTGACGAGGAAAGGGAGAAATGCAGCCGAAGGGTGCAGATGCTTCTCCTTTGGGGTCGATGACCCCTCGCGATTGGAAGCGGAGGAGCTGTGGCAGAGGACGGGGGAGGGTGTAACCGCGCGCAGTTGCATTTCCTATCTGGCCGTATCACTGCTGTGAGCCAGTCTGTGGCTGCCAAAGCCGGGTTGAAGGTTTCCTGGCGAGCCACAGGATAATCATTGCTTTGTGATTGGTAGTGTTTGGAGAAAACGAACAGATTGGTTTTTCTTTAAGATCTTGCTCTAAGCCTCATCGATTCCTTTAAACCACCCTCTCATCCCACTTACTGAGCATCTGCAGAATTGAAAAGGAGTTTTCTCAGAACTTGTCTGTTCAGGTGCTTTGGCACCGGACTTTTGCCGTCTTTTCCTTTTTTTGGTTGCTTCTCAGCCCCGACTATCTCTTCTAGATTCTTTCCCTTAAGAAATGGATTTCTGATTGCTAGAGGCTAAGGTTGTTTTACTGCCGAACTCCCTTCAGGGACTTAGACGCTAAAGCAATATATGAAGAATGCTTTCGTAATAGATGAATACAAGGCATACCTAATACCATATAGTACGGATGTTCCCGGGGTCGCTCTCTGGTTAGAGACCCTTAGATAGTGTTCTGTAAACAATGCAGGCAAGTTTTGCATCTTGTACTTCTTTTTTCTTGCCTTTTTAATGAAATGAGGAGTCCTTATCTTGTAGAAGAATTTAGTTTTTAGAGAGAACCATTGATTGTCAATCAGTGTTTTGGAACATTTGAAATTCCACTGTACCATTTAATGAACATCCATATAAATAATGCGAACTCCATATAATTGGACCTAGGCGTTTAATATAATTAGTTAATATAACTACCCCGTCAGATTTGTTGAAATGCATTATAAGTATCAGGCTCAAATTAACGTTCTTTTCAGGTAACGCTGAAGAAACTTTTAGATTTCTCTAGACAAGAGAAAACCTGTACGGTTTTATTCAGATTTTCTTTTAAAGGAAAGATTATCTGTTTATGTTTTGTGGTGATTGGAGACTACACATTTCTACATTGTTTGGCCAGTCCAGAAATAGACATGTGACTGTTCAGGATATAGTAGCGAACAGATGTGATTGTTTATCCGGAAAGCCATTCAGTCATTTTGAATATGGGAGATTGGGTTGAATTTTTTAGATGGTAAATTGGGAAGACAATTAGATGCCTGAATACTATTGTATAAATAGGCTTGGCCGCTGCACTTTAAAAAAAAAAAGTCTTAATTCCAAGCTGAGTGTAGCAGATTGTGGTGGAGCTTGCCCATTGGAATGGGTACTACTGCTGCTAGTGTGCTGTAAGAGCCACTTCCACTGTCTTACTATGATTATTGGTAGTCATTCAGATTTGCTCATGAATAGTAAGGTCAGTTAAACATAGACAAGTGAGTACAAATCCATCATTTTGCAGGTCTCCACATCCCTAATTCAGAAGCACCACTTTATATCAAAGATGGCACAGTTTTACTGTGTAGCAACTAAATTAAAATAATAATTATTTAACTTTTCTTTTTTCTTTTGGTATCGGGAGTCTAACCCAGGACCTTGCGCTTGTCAGGCAGACACTGTGCTGCTTAGCTATATTCCGACCCTTAAGTTTTCATTTGGAATGTGAGCTTATTGATGAGTAGTGGACACTTAACTAGAAATCAGACTGTCATTTTGTAGCTCTGATAACTTTAATCTCAGTGAATCTTCCCATGAGTTGTTCTTTTAGAATTATAACAGTTTGGGGCAATCAGATTATTACCATCATTGATTGATAGGAGTAGTAATGACAGGATGATATTGATGAGAAATCTTAGACCCTCATTTTTAAAGGGTCTGACTTAGATGCCTGGAAGATAAATGAAGAGACCACCAAAGTTAAAACCATTGGATTAGGATTAACTTTGAGTGTCTGGAGTCAATATACCAGGAAATCAATTTCCTTAACTTTTGGCTGAGATTTAAGAACCTAATAAAAGTATATGCCAGTTGGTATGGGTACCAAATATTATATGGTGCCATATGTGTACTTATTTTTCTTTTCCTGTTTTTTTTTTTTTTGTTGTTGTTGTTGTTTTGATTTTTTTGTTTGTTTCTTTTTTCTTTTCTTTTTTCCTTTTTTTGAGACAGGCTGTGCAGTTCAGGCTGGCCGGAAACTCCTGGTGGTCCTCCTGCCTCTGCCTCCGTACTGCTGAGATTATAGGCACAGGTGCCGCTGCACCTGGCCTGGTTTTTTGATTTTTTTTGAGACATGGTCTTGGTAGATAGTGTAGGCTGGCCTTCAACTCACTATGTAGTCCAAGTTGGCCTAGAATTCACAGCTGTCCTCCTGCCTCAGCCTTCCTAGTGCTGGGATTACAGGCAGGTGCCCCCACTCCAGGTGTTACTTGTTATTTTTAAAGGAAGTGTGAGGAAGTATTGGTTTTTTCTGTGTTGCTTAGTGTTATTTTTTGTATTAAGTTTAAAATAAGCTCGTATTAGCCCACAAATATTGATAATAACTTTAACAAAGAACACCTAAAACGGTTTGGTAAAAAAAAAAACAAAAAAAAAACAAAAAACCACATAGTCAAGTCTATTCTCTGTAGGAGAAAATGAAGTGGTCTTTATAAAGATTTTTTTTTAAGGAATTGAGCTATCCCTTTAAAGTTATCCCTTTATCCGTTGGATAAAGGCCTTTCTAAATAATATCCCAACTTGTTTAACAGACTGAAGAACCCAACTAATTTACTTGATAACTAAGATTTCACATCATGAGGATTAATTATTGTGCTTTGCTGTAACACAGTCATTAAGACCAGTAAGCTTTGTAGGAACTGTGACCCTCCTTTAAATAATCTCAGACTGCTTTGCTTTTTGAATTCTTTTTGGATTCCTCCCCATCCCTCTTTGCTGTTAGCGTGGCGCCTTCTACTTTTCTATGCTTTCAGTGTGTGTAGTCAGCTTCTCACTATCTAATTTGCATGTTTGGAAATAAATGGTGTTAGAAATAGTATATTAAAAAATGAGAGTATGTCCATAGCTGTTTGGTTTTCTTTTCTTATTTTTTTTGTTCTGCACAGTAATTCTAGTAGGGAATTGTGATTAGAACTGTACACTTTGATAATTAGGTTATTCTCAGCATTATATGTTTAAGAATTATTGTACATTCCAGACATTGCCTTTTTCTTTACTGAAAACATTTCATATACGGGGTTTTGTACTTGATTTAAAAGTACAGTAACTTTAACTGTACTTAGATTGTTTAACTGTACTTAGAGCTGTAACTTAGACTGTTTCTTAGATTTGCTTAGTCTTAGATTTGCTCTTTGAACATTTTGGCTATAAAGAGTTGTGCATATCAAGACATTAGAAAGTAGAAAGGCAAGCTGCAGAATGGAAGAAATATTTGCAGTACATATAACCAATAAAGGACTTCATATATTTCCAGAACATATAAAGAACTTTACACTTTTTAAAAACATATAAAGCTGTAAGAAAAAACAGAAAGCTCATTTTAAGAGTGAGCAAAAAGGGCTGAGGATGTAGCTCAGTGACACAGTGCCTGCCTGGCAAGCGTAAAGTCCTGAGTTTGATTCCTGGTAATGCCCTCCCTCCCCCCTCCCTCCCCCTCCCTACCATCCCAGTGAGCAAACCAATTGAATGGACACTTGTTAAAAAAGATACCCTAGGGGCTGGGGATTTAGCTCAGCGGCAAAAGCGCCTGCCTGGCAAGCGCAAGGTCGTGAGTTCGGTTCCCAGTACCGGAGAAAAACCAAAAAAAAAAAAACAAAAAAAACACACAAAAAAACTGGAAACTACCCAAGTGTCTACCTGTAGTAGAATGTATAAGCAAATTTAGCTGTATCCATGGCACATATCCACAGGTTGTATTCATTCTGTGGAGTCCTCTAGAGCTTGTTGCCCCAAGTTTGGGTTGTGCAACTACATCTGTAGTGAATTCCAGAGAATTTATGAGGAATTCAGAAACTTCATCTCCAAGCCAGATAGGTGAATCAGAATTACATTTTAATATGATCCTTAAAGGATTGTTGTTTGAGAAACATCCCTTTAGATGGAGCTTTCTAAATCTGGATGAGCATCCCCACCACCCTGGGTCTGTTTGATATGCAGATCTCAGACCCCACCCCAGACTGACTGACTCATTCTGGGACTGTTTGATCCAGCTCTAGGAGTCATGAATGTAGCCTGAGGTTTCAGAGTCCATTTATTTTTTTTTTATTTTTTTATTTTTTTGGTTTTTCTCCGGTACCGGGAACCGAACTCACGACCTTGCGCTTGCCAGCAGGCGCTTTTGCCGCTGAGCTAAATCCCCAGCCCCTTCAGAGTCCATTTAAAATGTACATTTCTGAAGAAGTTTGCAGGTGACGCTAAAACCAGGATCCACCCTTCAAGGTCCTCTGCTTGCAGGTACTAGGCATGCTTTCTACAAAGGTCCAGGTAGTAGTTTTTGCAAGACATGGTCTCTGTCACAACTCTGCAGCTGTACTGTGGTACTGTGAAACAGCCAAAGGTAATATATGTATTAATAGGTGTGCTATTTACCGGTACAACTTTATCTAGTAAGA